GCTTTTCATATGGCACTTGCTACTGGAAATTCAGGAGTGTGCGTAGTGTCATCTGATACAAATGTAGGTTTCAAGCCATTCTGCTTGCAAAGAAAACTGAAAACGATGAAGTCTCTTTACTTTGTAATTTTGAAAAGATTTTTTTTTTACATTGACCTTATTTTATTGTAGCTAGATTCAAAGTTACCAACTCAAAGAATTCAAAAAGCTTGTAATATTTAAAGGCAGGAATCGAGGTATCTTTCCCTGAACAAGACTACTGAGTGCTGAGGGAACAATATTAAGTTTGTCTATCATCCACAAGTAGGTTTTTATGTTAACAGCAGTTTAATACCTAAAAACATCTTAAGGTCAAATGTGACTTTAAAATTTTTGCCTGCTTAGATTGGAAACTGGAAAAACGTTAAAGGAGAGAAGCAATACTGGCAAGCTCCATCTGGTTACTGTTAACAGAAGACTATGTAATTACTAGGTTGCAAATAATACTGTGAGAAATTATTGTTAAAAGATAAAGGTAAAATTTCACTGAAGAGAGACTTACCTACTCGTGTTCAGTTTTGAAAGAAATACTGATTTTGAGCCTAAATTTTCTCAAAATAATCTGCCATAAAATAAAATAAAATAAAATAAAATAAAGGCGTCTGACTGATTCTGATAAGGAAATTTAGGCACAGGGATGATTTCTTTAAAACTGCACAGAACTAGTGGCAGAAGTGTGTTACCCTGGGTGTCTGACACCCACATACAGTATGCCTCCTCAAAAAAATCTTTGATTATACATTCTCCCTAAGTCCATATCTTGATTTCTGTTAGGAAACCATCTTTTAGACTTGATGCTTTACTGTATTCTTTCCTCAGGCAACCCATACTGTCATGTACAAGCACCTTTCCAGCTGTGTTTCCTGCTCTGTGGCATCTTGTAGTACTCCAAAGCTGCTCCCCTGATGAGACAAGAGGCAATCTTGTGCAAAAATCTATGAGGATGCCTGTGGGGCAATTCAGTTGCCGAGCTGCAGATACATAATAACACTTCAAAAGGTCTTATGGTCAGCTGCCTTTCTGTAGGGATGTCTCAGAGAATTCTCCCTTGACTAAGAAAGGAAATACCTCTTTAAATAGAAGGTGAAGTTGACTCAAGAGTCATCAAGAGCAATGTGACTGTGCAATGACTGTGATTACTGGTCAAAGGTAACTGATCGAAGGCTGGTTATTGCTTTTACAGAGCATGCATATTAAAGTTCTGAGTTTGCCAGACACTATTAATGCAGATTAGACTAGCACAGTTTTTAAACCTTTGTTTCCCTTGATCAGCATTTATATTGGATGGTCTTTAATTGACAGCCTTCAGTGATGCTAGGCATCCAGGATATAGAGTGAAATTTGCTCTTTAAATTCAGGAGTTGGAGAAATAGTGAGCGACATACAGCAAGGGAAGTACAATCAACCTGCATAGAGAGTTGAAGTTTCTGCAGTCTGAGATCGGAGAGTTCATAGCTGAAATGCGCAGGAGAAACTTGCTGCACGTCAGTGTGATAAGGATTGTGCTCCTGTATGCAAGTGGCCATTTGTATTTCTGTATATGTGTATTACAGATTCTGTATTAAATGTATTACAGATACATTTGCTCACATAAATGAGTTATGTGCAATGCCCCTAGCCCTAGTTTTCAAAGCACAGTTTATAACTCAAATAGCAGCTTTCTGGTTCCCTGAATCATGACTAATGTTCCCCCATGACTTGTTACTTGGCATGGAAACTATTAAAACAGTTAGTTAGGTGACTGCCTCCTGAGGCCAGCCAGCAGAGTCCGTCGGATGCCTGGACATCCTTTGGCTACCAGTAGATACCTCTGTTTGCCTCATGCCCTACCCTTTCGTGCTGTTCTTGGTCTTATGCCTTTGGCTTCAGTTACAGACCCCTGCAGTACTGCTGTTATCAGCAGGTATTTTTGTACTGTTTAAACTACCAGAACGAGCACACTGGAATTGCCAAAATAGTTGCCTTATGCAAGTAAGCTTCTTACTTGGTACTCACAGTCAATGCTTGACTGTCCCAAAAAATTGCTTGTCCTGTCCAAACCCACAGCTAAAATTCTCAGTCCAGATGCTCTGAATTCCTGTCATCAGTTACAGAAGCAGCCTCACTTTTGGCTTTGATAAATACCTTGCATGGTTCTTGCAAATGCCTGTTTTACCCATAGTCTTAATTGCATGACTCCTTTGTAGCCCACTGCCGGCTCTCAGTCCTTGCCAGCCTGCTCTCCTACACTGTCAGAATGTTGCAGATGTGCTGCTGCCCTAGCTGTGATCGTTTGGAAGTGCAGTGAGGTTGACTCCTATGTCTTGGACCCGAGACTATGGTTTCTTTCTCTTAATTTTGTGACAGCCCTTAAAACTCTGTCCAGGACTGCCACATGTTTGGCAGGTTTGCACTGGAAAGGCAAAATTATTCTGCTTGCTTGCTTAAAACATCTCTGCTATGATGCTTGCAAGAAACCCCAACCAGTACTGCTGCTTACCATGCTGTCTTGTTTCTGGGAACATCCTGATGTGTCCAGTTCTCTGCCTCGGCATCACAAGCATCTCCAGCAAGCCTGCACATTGTGGTTTTTGTTCTGATGCATGCATCATCCAGGATGCTGGTATCTGGGCTGAAAACTGTCCCCTGTGTGTACAGTGATAAAACTAGCAGGAGGAGAAGGGAGTCAGCTTCTGCAGGAGTTCTTGGTGCTGCTCTTCATTTGACTCAGCTTTTTTCCTTTTATACCTCCTATCTCCTATTTTATAGATCCCTCTCAGAACAGTCTCTTCCCTCCTCAAGCTGTGAACCGTATGCGTGCTGCTGCTTCTCTTCCTCATGCCTTGCCTTTCCTCCCTTCCTGACTCTGACCTTCTCAGCACTGATCAGGCAGCTGGTGGTGGTCATGTTCTGCCAACTGCCTGGCTGGCCTACAGGCATTTGCGGAGAGATGCTTGAACCTACATTAAACATGTACCTGCTTTTCCTTTTGGTTTTCTGCTGTCTTTTTTCCCATTTTCCTTAAAATCATAATGAGTGTAGATGCTGCTGCCTAAACTGTTCCCAATTCCAAGCATTTTTTTAATTGCTTAGAAAACACTACATTTGGTTTTCAGACCAAGAAGTGCAGCAAGGTTGACCTCATAAGCTCAGCCAATAAATACAAGAAAATGTCTCCTTTTAATTAATTAGCCTATTAACCATGATTAAGTAGCCATATAGGTCATATCACTGATTCATTTGCTTTCCTCCCTTACTTCTGTCTTTTGGATCAGGAGTTCCCCTCCCATAAGGGTCCCTGTTCCTTTACATTCCTTCCTTCTGTGTTTTCCTGCCCGTATGACTCTTGTTTATAGTGGCAGCAACAGAGAGGACGTGCAGAGCTTTTTGCTTACAGAAAGCTGTATGACAACAGTTACTAATTCTTCTGCACAATAAAAAAGTGTGTTTGTCTGTCTTTATGTTGTTTAACTGGTAGCAAAGAGATGAATCTCACCTGATGCAGAGTTAGGAATAAAATTTAAGAGCTGTTGGACTTCAGATATGTGTTTAGTATGTTAAACGGTACTTAGCAGTGGAAAGGTTTGCCCGTGGCAGCTGGTGAAGTAAAGGGAAAGGATCACATTTTTCTGTGAGAGGGGAAAGCAAATTTAATTGCTAAAAACCTGTTTTAAAAATACAATACTTGGGAGACTATCCTGTCATCCTGGAATCGGAGCCTTCCTGTTTGTCCATGAAATAAACGTGTGGGGACAGAAGAGGTTTAAATGCCTTAATTCTGCCACTCTGCTGAGGAACCCCTGCTCAGACAGGGAGTGAGTGGAATGACCTTCAAATTGAATTACCACAGCTAAACTTTTAGTTTTGGAGCGGTTTTTGTCTTTCTGTTCTTGTAATATGAATAACTTAAGGGCAGTGGCTTTCAGCCTCTTTTGATTTGTAACCCCAGCTGTTTTTCAGTGGTTTTGCGGGCCTTGTCAGATGTCTCTCATATGCACATTGCTGTGTAGCATGTTTTAATTATTTTTTCCTCAGTTCATGAGTGCCTTTAAACTGGTCTGTGTTTCTTGGAGGAGGAGAAGAAGGTGCAAACTGCAGTTTAAAAAGCTGTGTATTAGGAGCCTTGTTCTGGAAGTAAAAGTTTGTTTCCGACAACCTCAAAAAAAAATTGAGATTATTTAATGTTTTGGAGGTTTGGCTTGCCCTTTTTAAATAGGTGAAACTAATCCTTTTCCCCATTCAAAACCATGAGTGCTCCCCTTCCTCCATGAATAAAATTGGAGAATTCAACTTGAATTTACTTAAAATTTTACATTTGTTTTCCTTATGAGGCCATGTTTTCTTTTTTTTGTTTCCCCCACTCTGCAATCACAAAGGCTGTAAAGATGATATAGTGGAGTCATGTAATGACTTGATTCCAAGAGCTGAAATTTCAGAATAACAATCAGTAGAGCACTGCCAGCACAGTTTTGAGCAGCCAGCACTGTGGTGGCTTGAATCAAATTTCAATCAATAAACCAGAGGTGAAAGGTGCTGCTGCTCATCCTGTTTGAGAACTCCCTTTTCTTTATTTACCATTCAGTGCACCAGTTACAATTTCTTCAAAACACATGAAGGTTAAGTGTCAAAACAACAGGCAAGTCTGTTCTGCACCGTATTGCTGAAACTGTGGTTTTGTGAGCTAATTCTTAAGTGCACAATTCCATTGAAATAGCATTGATTTGGGTTTGCACTTGACTGGTCGGCAAAGGGCTTTTCAACCCTTTACTGCCCATGAGCAGTCTGGCAAACCGATCTGGCAAAGCTTTGCAAAGCTGAGTTCCGACATGAGTGTTTTTCTTGTGGTCATTTAGTCAGACAGAGCTTTCAATGACTAAGGGAGCCAGTAAAATCTGTTAGTGTACTGGGACGTAGCTAATTATCAGTAGACACAAATTATTTTCTAAAAATGTGATTATCTGTAGTTTAACCTGTCCTATCAGTTGTGATGGATCTGCCATTAATTTCTACCTTTTTCCCCCCTTTTTTGCCAACGTTAAGTGGCTAAAAGCCAAGGTAAGAAGTGTTATTTCTCCTTTGACCCACAGTGCCTCATGTGACCGATAGTAGAGGCTGCAGAGCCATTAAAACTGAAAACTAGCGCTCTCTTATGCTCTTTTCTGCTTTCCATAGGATATTTAGATTAAACATGCTATACTTGATTTTTTTTTTTATTTACAGCATTTAGTGTGTGTCAATATATCTGCGATACATTGACATCTGCATTTATACATAGATACATTAATTTCTCTAACACATGTAGTGCTTTGCTCTGAATTCAGTAGATGCCTTGATCCCCTTCACTTACATTTTTTGCAGGAGACTTCCCAGACAACCTGAATCACTCTGCTAGTCAAATAGCAGGGACAAACGGAGAAATTCTGGGTCCATGCTGACTGTACTGTACTGTCAGTGTTAAAATTTTACTTAAATTATTAACACCTGAACAGAGATGAACACAAATGTGGCTTCTTTCCTTTAAAGAAAAGAGGATATAAGAGATTTGTGCATTAACCTGTCAGTTGCCTACTTTTCTGGTGTTTGTTGTAAATTAATAGCAAAAATAACATTAAGTTTATATTTAGACTTTTTCTATTTACTGGTGTCTGTCCTGTGTGTAGCTGAAAACTTGCTGTTTGACAGCTGTCTGGGAATTCTCACTTCATATTCTTACACTTAAAAAAAAAAAAAGCTTTCAATAATAGAGCTGCTCTGTTATAAAAATAAAATCATGTTTTTCCTTATTTCAGCATGGAAATAACCAGCCTGCAAGAACTGGCACCTTGTCAAGAACAAATCCGCCTACACAAAAACCACCAAGTCCTCCCATGTCAGGCCGGGGAACTCTGGGGTAAGAACGAAGGCTGCTTGATCCTGCCTTTGCAATAGAAAGTCTTAATTGTGCCAGTGTTGATGTTCTTAAATATGTGGATAGATAGCAATTCTGATTGCCTTTAGCAAAAAAAATAATTACCTATTCTGTATAAACCCGTTCAGTTGCACTGACTTATTTTCATGATGACCTTTTGAAAATATTTTTTTTCATGGATGAAGGGTTGATTATAGATACGGGTAAATGAGGAGGCTATTGTTATTCCTCATTTATGGGGAGAAATCCATAGTGAGACAAAAGAGTACCAATGAGGTTTTAATTTCAGTGGGGGAAAGACATAATAGTTAAAGTCTTTGCTCATTTCTCAATATGATAAGAGGTATGAAATATCTGTTTTTGCTGTATTTGTTGCGTTATCTAAGCAAAATTCATGGCATTGTGCACACATTGACAACACTGATTCTTGCAGGCATGTGCATTTTTATTTTTATGCTTAAATGAGGAAGGATTTTGCTGTTCGCAAGTCCCACTGTGACCAGAGTTGCCTACAGTAGCATCTATTTTGCTGCTGTGGACCTGTGGGGAAATTCTGCTTATCTTGGTGTGCCAGCAAGTACTTGTTGCTAGGGACCAAAACATTAGTACTTGAGAAGCTCAGAGCACGTGCCATATGGTTTTGTCTGTCCAACTGTGCAGCATCTTTGAAAAGGCATCCTAAACAACACCTTCTACCTATTTGTCACTCTGGCTTTCCTTTATGCTGTGAGGGACTGAGACACTGTAGAGCTGGCTGGCATGGTTGTGTTGGCTTCAAATACGGTGTCTGGGAGAGGTGGGGAGCTGGAATAATGAGACAGAACAGGATGGGGATCCGGAGCAACAGTCAGGGAAAATTAGAAGCAGCACCTCCCTTTGTTGAAGACTTAGTGATTTTTTAATCCTGATTTGATGCTTTGCTGCTTGATGATGGCGGCAGTGTTTGTTGTGTATTCTGCAGAGAAATTACCCCAGAGGTTTCCTCAGCCTGTTTTGTGAAAATTCCCAGTGCTCAAGGGCATGCAATCAGTATTCGAATTGTCTCTCTTATCCCAGCTGAGGGAGAGTTGTTTATCAGCCCTGGGAAGCTGGGTAGTGCTTTCATGGCCTCCTGGACGAAGATTGCTAGTGAAACAGCAGTGCTGATGGACTGGTGAGCTGCCTCTCTAATGCTCCCCCCTGAACAAGCCAGAGCTATTTGGTTGCCTTCGCTGATGCCTGATAAGGATTAATCAGCTGAACGTCATTTCCAGATGAGCTTGACAAGAGGCAGCAGTTGGCTGAGGGGGAGGAGTAATGTGGGTTTGTAACAGAGATTTCGATCTGCCCTTCTTGTTCAGGAAGTACAGCTCTTGTCTTGAGCAGCCGTGTTCTGCCAAAGCATGAAATATCATAGGCATGACTGTTTCCTTAATGTATGCAAAAAAAAAATTGCTAGAAACTGCAAGGATACCACTCTTCTCCCTTTGATCCAGAAAACAGATAAGCGTGTAAAATTGGACAAGCTTGGTGTGTAACACGGTCCTTTAAGGATGTGCTGCCTATCGTGCAGCTTGGTCCTCCAAGGCAGGGGTATCTAAAGGGATATGGTGGGGAGGGAGTCCTGTACAGAAATCGTGTGGGCCAAAGAGGGAAAGGGATGCAGGAAGCAGGGGTCTCTTCACTGGACCGGGGAGAGACTGTGGAAAACCTTGTATGCTCAGGTTGGAAGTACCACAGGAGAATGAGTCAGTTGCTGGAGCTGAATGGATGGGCTCGTCGCAGTTGTGCCTTGAGTGTCCTAGGGCAGCTCCCTGGTGGCAGTGGGCATCAGGACCACTCTGAGGCATTGGGGGACAGTGAGATGGGGTGCGCTGGGTAGCGTCAGGAGAGAGTGTTTTCCCCATCTGCGTGAGGTTGGCAGAAAAGCGAAGAGAAGGGAAGGACTGGACATGAGTGATGGGAATCAATTGGTTTTGACTTCCCTGATGCTTAGGAGTTTCACGGAATCACAGAACGTTAGGGATTGGAAGGGACCTCAAAAGATCATCTAGTCCAATCCCCCTGCCGGAGCAGGAACACCTAGATGAGGTTGCACAGGAAGGCGTCCAGGCGGGTTTTGAATGTCTCCAGAGAAGGAGACTCCACAACCTCTCTGGGCAGCCTGTTCCAGTGCTCTGTCACCCTCACTGAGAAGAAGTTTCTTCTCAAATTTAAGTGGAACCTCCTGTGTTCCAGCTTGTGTCCATTACCCCTTGTCCTGTCATTGTTTGTCACCGAGAAGAGCCTGGCTCCATCCTCGTGACTCGTGACATCCTCACCCTTTAAATATTTATAAACATGAATGAGGTCTCCCCTCAGTCTCCTCTTCTGCAAACTAAAGAGACCCAGCTCCCTCAGCCACTCCTCATAAAGGAGATGCTCCACTCCCTTAATCATCTTTGTAGCCCTACGCTGGACTCTCTCCAGCAGTTCCCTGTCCTTCTTGAACTGAGGGGCCCAGAACTGGACACAATATTCCAGATGCGGTCTCACCAGGGCAGAGTAGAGGGGAAGGAGAACCTCTCTTGACCTACTAACCACCCCCCTCCTGATACACCCCAGGATGCCATTGGCCTTCTTGGCCACAAGGGCACAGTGCAGTTTGAGTTCTTCAATAAGCTGAGAAGAACAGAGGAGAAACTGAGGCATGGCTGAACCTGCAGATGTAGTAGGGGAGTTTGCTTTTGACACTGTTTTTAAATGGTACAGGCAAAATAAATAGTGCTACAGAGCTGAGTAGTAGTTCCTATTGCCAGTGAATTCCAAAGCAGAATACTTTAAGGCATTAGTTTTCAAGGCTATTTCTGTTGGAAGCACATTTTAAGTCTTCTCTGCTTATCATTTTATTTGGCAGTATTTAGGGCTCTATCTCTTACAACTGGAATACAGAGTTTCTTTATTTTTCCCACGACTGATCTCTTCTGGCAGATCCATAGGTGGTGGCAGCCTGCATATTAAGATTGTCTGTAGTTCTTTATATAGACAAGCTAATTTACAAACACCACAGTGCATGCAAACAATTACAGAATTTCTGTTTTTCTCTTTGAGAGTTTTTAATAATAAAATGTTATAGTTAAAATTTAGTACTGTTGCATTCTGTATCATGAACAAGAAGTCAGTAAGTTTCTTAAAATACCAGGAAGTAGTATAACTCACCAACTAGATTATAACCAGTAATTGAACAAATGATTAAATGCCAGTAGTTCAGTAATTCTGGTCTGTCTTAGCTGGTGCATTGCCAAATTCCACACCTTGCGAGGGATCTCTTGGTTACTGGTGAGAACTGAAGAGCTCTGCAATCCAGTACAATAAACACACTGTTCTTAGCGCAGTAGTGGGTCTGGTAAATAGATCTCAAAAGATCTGTGTTATATCTGTGACGTGATGCAGTCTGCATCCCAGGTGACCTGGGAAGTCTCTGGGCTTCACGTTCTTGGGCTGCAAAATGAAGACAATGAAGCTCATCTGTGAAGCACTTTAGAGTCTGCTGAAGTGCTATGAGATTGCTTGATTACTGCATGGAGCAGTGCTACCAGGAAGAGCGCTGGTGATTGCAAATGTAACTTGTTCTGTGAATCTTTCAGCCTTACTGCTGTCTTAATGGGCTGGATACCTTTAGCCAAGAATGCTTTTAGAAGGGTTAAACATTTGGAGGGGAGGGGAAGGGGAGAAGGAGGAAATTGTTACAGTGGAAGTGTTTGTCACATGCAAGAGTTTGTCATGTGCCATGTACTGAAAGGTAGCCCTGGAATATTGTAACTATAGCAGGTGTAACTGTTATATGTTCTGTAGTTCAAAGAATATATTTTGGGTGGTAAATTTAGTTTAGGCTTTTTTGATCAGTTTATGTGCTGTATGCTAACTTGTATGGATCTGTCTACATAAGAGCACTTTGGAGAGTTGAATGTGACCTGTCTCCTCTGCCTGGTAGAATTTGTTTAATATACTGTGCTGTGGGTCACTCTGCAGTGATTGCTCATGAAAACTTAAGAAAACAAATGGCTTCACTAGTCCATTCATTTATCCTTTTTATCTTCTGATCTTTTATCTTTCTGTCTTCAAATCATTTTTTCTTTGACCAGACGAAATACTCCTTACAAAACCCTGGAGCCAGTCAAGCCGCCAACAGTCCCCAATGATTACATGACCAGTCCTGCCAGACTGGGCAGTCAGCACAGTCCAGGAAGGACGGCTTCCTTGAACCAGAGACCAAGAACACACAGGTAGAGCATTTTCTCACTGTAACTCTTTCCTGCCTGACATGCTGATGCTTACTAAAGTCACAGAAAAGCTTTGAGTCTTTGTGCCTGTTGGCTTTTTTTTGAAAGATGAAAGGTGGGTTACTCTACCACTCTGCATTAACGGAATTTCACAGAAGTGTCTTCATGCTCCATAGAAGCCTTATTATATCTAGCAGCTTTCTTCTATAACCGCAGGTCTCGTTTTATATAAGAAATTTATTTTGTTCTCTGGTATTTGCTTCCCAAGAAAAAGCAAAACTTACGCAATTGCAAGGTAGGATAGTGATGGGTCCTAATGGGTTTGAAGCTGAGTTATTAACCCTAGCCTAAAATACGCTTAAGCTTTTTTTGTTTTGTTTTCAAGACCAGTAATTGCAGAGGGAAGTTTCTGTTGATTAGAAACAATGTGATGAAGGTAGTCTGAAAGAGCTGATTGCTTTCTTTTGTCTAAAACTTAATGCTCCTAATCCGTGCTAGCACGATAGAAGTAGAAAGTAAAACTTGTTCACAGAGCAGGTATTGGCATCAGCCAGTTGTTTCCACACGCTTAAGGGCTGTGATGGAAGAGTAGTGTTGGTTTTGGGTGAGAAGAGTATTCTAGGTTTGCCTTGTTGGGTTGTTTGGGTTTTTTAAATATAATTTATTTCTCTGATTGCAAGGGTAGATCTTTCTCAGCCTCTTGAGTGAGTTCATTCTTTTTCAGTTTTATTTTTATTATAGGTTTTTAACTGCAGGTTAAAGAACACAAAAGGATTCAATGTAGTTAGAAGTGAGAGGTTAGCTTTTTTCTAGAGAGCTTTCTTCTTAATTTTTTTTTGTTAACTCCCAGTAGGCAGTTAAACATGGTAGGTCACTAATGGAGACTGAGAGAGTATTGTGGACACAGCTGATCATAAAGTACCGTCAGAATGAAATAACTCCTAAATCTGGCTGCAACGAAGATCGTGTTAATCTGTTCAGCTTGTTACTGTGAATGCTCCCTACTTGTGTCTCACAAGATCTTCTTTTATGTAGGCTGCAGTTAGAAATTCAGCTGCAACCATGGTGACAAGATCAAGGTCTTCAGCAGACAGAACACTAATTTTGAAGGAGTTATCTTAGCTTCCATTTCAGATAACTGAATTTCTTTTTTTTGTACCTATGTTATTTTCTTGAGATATATTTGAAAGATTTGTGCTTGACTCTTGACAGCACTCATTTGTAGCTACCCAGGAATGGTAAATAAACTATAACGTCACTGAATACTCTTTAATTAGCATGGATGGGTTGAAGTGGTGTTTTTGGCTTCAAAACATCTTGACTACTTAGTTCCCTTTATATTATCCAAGTTCCCTTTGTATTATCCATTTAATCCATGTAAATTCAAGCCTTGGCCTAAGGAGTGCTTTTGGATAAGAATAAGGACAGATTCTGCCTGAATCTTGATTCTTTTTCAGCTCCCTCAATGAAAAGAAGTGTTACAGCCTCCAGAGGCATGTGTAGAGATGTTACCCAGTAGTTCACTAGAAGTATGTTCTGTAAAAATCTCTATTGCTGGCGTTTAATTTTTATGTCCTATAACAGTACTTAGACAAATTGTGACCTGGCTGTACTGTTACCTTTTGGACTATTGTAGAAACAAACTTCTCGTACACTAAAGGTGTGTGCATAGACGGGGGGTAGTGTTTGATACATGGAAAATTATCCAACCCATACCCAACACAACACATAACCCCAATTGGTTTATTGTGTATGTTCTTAGTTAAAAAGTTCTCAACCTAAGCTGCTGTTCTGAGGAAATGTTCCTTCAGCTGACAGCATAAATAATCTTAAATAATTATTTATAGCTTAGGCATGAACTCTTCCAACCCCAGCGTATTACTTTCAATTATTATAAGACCTCTGAACTATTCCTGCCGTTGTTACTCCATTGCTTAGAACTGGTACAGTTGCTTACCTTTTTATTTTTTAAGGCATTTAATTAGACATTTTGTGCATAGTGATGTTTATCAGCTTAGCTAATTCCATTTATTAGGAGTGTAATGCACCCAGACTTGATTAGCTGTATGCAATTGTAGGCAGAGACAGAGGTGCTTTATAAGGGATTTTTCAACAGTCTGTAATTGAGTTAGGCTAGCAGAGCTTGCACAAGAAGTGTGTCTGTTGATAGGCCTTTGTGGGAAATGCTGTGCTAATACTTGTGTTTTTCTTCTGTAGCGGTAGTAGTGGAGGAAGCGGCAGTCGAGAGAACAGTGGCAGCAGCAGTATTGGCATTCCCATTGCCGTGCCTACACCTTCACCGCCAACCATTGGACCAGGTATGTGGCACTCTTGCCGTGTTAACGTTAAGGCTGTAATGCCAGTTCCTTGTGTTTGCAGAGGGATTTTGACTGAATGTGATGGGGTAGAAGCTGTCCTGAAGCACAGTCCTAGTCAGGAAATCTCATATGAGTGCTGAGGGACATCTACAGTTTTAATTCTTTACCAGAAGTACTTGCAGAACAATCACTTACAGAATAGTGGATGGTTAAAACACCCTTGTTGGCCCATGTTTTTGCAAGACTATCAAGGAAGGAGGGGATAGAAGGAGAGAGGTGTATCCTTTTAAAGCTGAAGTATATTTTTAAATGCCTATGCACAATTTGGCATCTCTGGATGCCCTGAGAAGTGGCAGCAACTATGTATGTGTTTGATGGGAAATATAATCTTTTGAAATAACCTGCTAACTTGACCATCTGCCAATGATGGTATGTACATGTTTGGTTTTTTTAACTAAATAAAAGACTTTACTTCAAATAAAAGGCAGAAGATGACTTACGAAAACCCTGCTAGTACTAGAATTCAGTCTTATCCACCAGTGCTGTTTACGCTATGAGTACAGTCTGAAGTTGCTAAGCTATTGAGAGAGACAGGAATGTGTGTAAGATAGCACAGTTATTAAAAGAGACCTGTGCAGGATCTCTTGCCATCAAAAGCACACTCCCTTGTCTTAAAGAATGATGAATTGTGAGAGTGTGTACGATCCTTCTTTATTATAAGCTGGCAGGATCATTATCTTGGTAATAAAGCAACTCAGTCACTTGTTTACTATCTGTGTATTTTTGTAAGCACATAAAGTTAATTTGCACAAGAAAAGAGTGGAGTTGTGGTGTAATGTAATTTGCCGTTGCACCTCTTAAATCTCTGTTCCTCAGATGACAAGTCTTCACTTTCTTACACACACGTAGGCTTTCCTTTCCCAGGTGTTTCTGATCTAGAAATGTTACAAATAGGCATGAAATCTTACTGTCATCTGTCATCCCATAAAAATCAATGAGAATAAAGATCTGCAGGTACAGAACCCTGTGTTGTACCAGGGCCTGAGTTTAGATCAGTTGACCAAAGTTGAATTTCTCTATTTATTTGGGAAGCCTATCAAGTGCCCATGCTTTCTTAGATATATATTTATTTATATTTTAAATTATGTGGCCTAATTGGGAATATAAACTATTTTATTAGCACATATTTCTGTTCCTCCTCCTCCTGGAGCCCCGCCAGCACCACCACTGCCACCACCTCTCCCGATGGGCAGTCTGATAGGTGAGACTTGTGTCAATGCTGAAGTGATTGCAGTCATGCTGCATAATCAGTAATCATCTCCTAATGGACTTAGGGTGTTTTTAATTCTGTAGTGGGGTCTACATGATTTTAGTATAAAAATCGGTTCTGGGATTTTTTTTTGGTTTACGTTTTTAAACAAATCTAATCTCCACTAATTTTCCATGGTTAAAGCCTCTGAAGGTAAACACACAAGGTACAGGGAACAGGCCGCCAGTTGCTTGAAGTCTCTGTTCCCAATAGAGCTAAGATCCAATTAGTCTGATCTATAAGAACTCAAAATCAGCTTGAATATTGCTGTTCTGCTGGTTTACTCCTGCAGCTGAAACTAATCCACAGCAGTTGCATTCTGGCTTAGAAATGGTAGTTGCTGTGTAGAGTGGTGTACATGTTCTGCCCTGGGGGAGAAGGCGACTGAAAAGCAGAAGTGTCTGTCACAGCATCTTGGTTTGATTCTGTAACTGCAGGCGGGTGGCAAACGAACACCTGAGGGTATGAATATCAGTTCTTGAAAAATTGCTTCAAGCAGTACATGTGGCTGTTAGGATGGGATCTAAAAGCAGTACTTTTCGAAACAGACAGGAAGAAATACTCCACCTTTTCCTGTCAGCCTACAGGCTGATGACAGAATCCACCGATTTTGTGTTACGATACTACCTTTGGAGGCTTTGACCCACATAACCCTTTGCACTTTCCCTTACTGAAGTGTTAAGTGAAAGTGACTTTGGATCGCATTACGGGACTGCAAACTTCTGATCGCACACTGTTTGTGTATGTATGTGTGTGTGTGCATTTCTGTATAGATTTATATGTGTATGTACATATGATATATACACGTATATAAAAGCACAAAATGTTTTATTGCAAAACAACTTTTGCATTTAAAAATTGCATTGATCCATGTGACCTTAACGTGTGAGATTCATTAGTTTGCAAGGTGTGATTCTTTTCTCTGTGAGAGGTTAATCCAAAAGAACTGAAATTGTTTTATTAACCTTGAAGTTTGCACAGCAAGCATATGGAAGGCAAAAATGGGTGTTCATCCTGAAGAATGAATGACATGTGTTTCTGTCAGCTGGTACTGGGGATTCTGATTTGTTGGTGCAAACAGCATCAATATAAAAGCACAACGAGCAAATATGATTGATATATGTGCCAAGTATCTGAAGCTCATGACATTTGTTTTAGTGTTTTGTTACTGTCTTTTTACATTAGATTGGAGACAAGTTCTGGTTCACAATGGAAAACATTTGCTCTGAGCAGAATGTGGATTTTTTTTCTGTGTGCTTTTTAATAAAGGGTATTGCATGTAGAATAATTGAGATATGCTTAGGAGTTGGAAACTGATTTAATTTTCCAGTCTAATCCAGTCTCTCAAAGTAGTTTTCAGCATTTCTCAAACGCCCTTTATATGAGTGTTGGTTTTTGTCCTGTGTGAACAGGGATGTTTGTTTTCTGTTAATCTCCTGTTACTGGCCTTAAATTATTGGTGACCTGTAATCAAGTATTCCCCATGTTCCGGGCTTTTTTCTGTTTTCTGCCTTCTATCCTAAGTAATGCTCTGCTTAAGTCTTTTCCTTGGTTCCTCTGGCTAATGCTTTTCAGCTGCTCCGGGTTCAGCTCCTGGTTCCCAGTATGGCACAATGACCAGGCAAATCTCGCGACACAACTCTACCACTTCTTCGGCATCTTCTGGTGGATACAGACGGAATCCTTCTGTGACTGCCCCATTTTCTGCTCAACCTCATGTTAATGGCGGGCCTCTTTATTCTCAAAATTCAAGTAAGCTTCTGAGCTCTGAAATCACAGACTGTTTTGAGCAAAATGATTGTAAAAGCATGCATGGCATTTTAATTCATTTATGAAGAGCATCAATCAGATTACTGCTTTCTTTCCTAAAGTAGAAGGAAAAACAAACAAGAAAAAAACATATTGAAGTTGTACGGTGATTGCACTGTATGCAATTATACTGTTTTCCCCTCTGACTTGTTTGCTGTTACTCATGACGAGAAATTATTATGATTGCCTATCTAATTATAGGCACGTTATACTTAGCATTTCAGGTGTGCTTGGAGAACATAAACTAAAACCAGATTTTTTTGCAGGAGACCTAATATGGTTGTAGTGCAGTCCCTCCACTACTGGACTAGTGGCGAGAGAGTGCTGTCAGTGCACAGTGCTCATGTAACAAACTTTTCCCATTACGCAGTTCCTCCCTATCTCTTTCCTGATTCCAAGTTTTCTCCTTTATTCTTAGTTTTAAGCTTGACTGTTAAAGAGCTCAGTCTCTCTCTTTTTAGCAGACAACTCCTCTGTACTTCCACACTAGTGGCAGTGGTAATGGTAGTATCATAGATGGGGATGAAAGAGGGAGGGGATGGATGCTATGGGCAAGTGAACAGATTTTAGTGAGCAGCATCCTGCCTACCTACCCAACAGGGCACGCAAGGTTCACTGCAGAAAGAGCTGCAAGATAAGGATCTCCTTGAGTGTTGGTAGAAAGCTGTTTCTATCAGGAAACTTCTTTGCCATTTCTGGAAATTTTGACGAGCTACACATAGAGGAGTGATAGTCCTCTAATGGTTTCTGGTGGTGTTCTTCAGTGTACCAGTGCTCGAAACTTCAGAGTGATACTTCTTTTAAAAAGAAATGTTAAATTTTGTTCACTTTGGACCAGTATTTCCTGTTGTGTACTTACTCTTAAGGAAAGAATGCATATAAAAAGTTTGATACACTGGGATGAAGAGTTTTCTCAGTGATTTTAGAAGTATTACATTTATCGGAAAGCATTTTTATATACAGAACAGTACCTATGTGGTTTTTTTTCCAGTCCTGATTTTCCTCCCACTCTCTCTCACCCGTACTGGCCTTTCATTTTCCTCTACACTCTTGTTCCCTCAAATTAATTCGCCACAAGAACAGAAACTCCTTCCTGTTTGAACAGTCGTGATCTGTTGAATAAACAGGGTTTTATATCTGAAAATAGTTCCGTTGTCCTAAATGCAGTGCACACCGCTGTTTCTGAACACTTAATTTGTCCATGGCAATTTTTTGCTCAAATGCAGGTGCTGTTCCTTAACCTAGCCTCTCTGGTGTTTTCAGAATACTGATTGTCAACGTTTTTAAACAGTATTTTGATGGGTGTGTTTTTCTACTTTATACTCTTTTTGTCTTTCTGTTACTGGTGATTTTTAAATTTTTTAATGCTACTGTCTTCACATTAAATCCAGGTTCCATGTTTCCTTAAGGTTTTACTTTTCATGCTAACAAATACTCTGTTTTTCCTTAGATGTTTACTTCAATTTTGTGAGAAACCTGTTTGTTCTCCCTCTTTTATTGATAATTTCTCTCATACAGTTTATTATTTGATTATTGGTTTTGTAGTCAACTAAATGCTCCATTTTTATTCATCAAACATTAATCTTAGTTACGGCTTTATTTAAAACTGTTGCTTACGTGGAAGTGCAGAACCTCTTTCAAATTTGGTTCCAACTGGATTACCTTGCTGAATTCCCACTTTCACAGGAACTTCTCTGCTTCAGTGGGAGAGAAATTCCACTGAGAAGGGGCACGGTATGACCAAATGAGTTGTTGTTTTGTTGGATTTTTTCTTTCTCTTTTTTCCTTTCCCCCTGCTTCGTGGGAAGACATCCTGCCAGAGCCAATAGTTTGAATGGTGTGCCCTGCACTACCATGCGTCTTCCCTACCTGCAGAGGGAAGAGTTGAACATCTCAGCTGTCAGCCCAGCGTCTCTGAGCACTGGTGCTTTGTGTCTCCTATCTCATTGCTCACCAAATAGGTGCACACTTCAGAGAAGATGAGCTTGCAAGTGCTTCCTGGGGAGCTCTGTGCACTGGTATAGCCAGTTGTAGCTGTTGAAGCCTTTGCCAGCCTCTTAGGATGCTGAGTGCCTTCTAAACCACAGAAGACTTTATGATTTAAAATTGGGCTCCATTCTGCTCTAAACCCATCTGGTTTTCCTAACAACAAGCAACAAGGTCCCTTTTTCAATTTAAAAACCATAGTAAGCCAACCCACTACCCCCCACCCCAGCAGAACAAAATGACGGGAGGTGCTCTCTGTGTGAATATTAAGTAGTGATGTTGCAGCAGTTTCCCTTGTAAAGCAGTTGTCTTGGCTCTGTGTCAGTGCTGCTTTGCTGCACTTGATGTAGCGCGCTACTCTTGTTTTCAAGGAGTCATCCAGAATCCTGTGAAACATCACCTCTGCTTCTAGTAGTGTACTTTTAAAAGATAACTCCTAAATTTGAGTAATCCTTATTTGGCAGCAAGACAAATAGCACAGTTTTGTGTGCTCCCCAAGTGAAGCAGAGCGAGTTCCTTCACATGCACATCTGTGAGCTCCCAGATGTGCAGCCTGTGCCCAGCTTTTTGTTCAGCTGAACACAGGGGCATGCTTTGCTTTTTGATCCTGGATTGGCCAACCACGAATTCAGCCCTGTTGGAAACACAAGCTTGAAGAAGGTTCTTCTGTGTGTGTGTGTGCGTGTTCTTGTTGTTCTTTACATACTTTGTTTTGTGGTCCTTGTTACTGACGGCTGCTTTTGTTTGTTTCCTTTTTTTTTTTCCTTTGTCTGTTTGACTTTCCCCGATATTGTGTGTGTGTTGCTACCAGTTTCTATTGCTCCACCCCCTCCCCCTATGCCTCAGTTGACTCCACAGATACCTCTCACAGGCTTCGTGGCCAGGGTGCAGGAAAACAGTAAGTTTGGACAAGCTGAGCTGTTAAAGGGTAGAGCCTACTTTCTTCTAGCATGCATGGCTGGCAAGTCAGACTCTATTTTGTTTCCTTTTCCAGAAGCTAATACCATCTTGCATTCTAGTGTCAATATGCTATTGGAGCTGAAGGGCACACTCTTCAATATTTTATAATGTGCATGATTATTACTGACCCATTTAAGTTCTGAACTGCAAATTTATTATAGAAATACAGTGTGAAATATGTGGCATATGCTTGGTATGAATATAGAAATGTACCTTAATTAAAAAATATTAATTTCATGTTGAATCATCCTGCCTGAGGCTTTCTCACTAGGAATAATTGATTAGCTTTTATTAGAAAGGCTTATGTAGACTGTCAAAATATGTACTGTGTAACCATTGATTCTAATACTGTAGTAGTTTTCAGGAAGCTGTACAGTCAATTGAAAATGTGGAGTCTTATGATCTAATGCCATTACAAAGGAGCTTGTCAGGTATTTCTCCTCTTGGCAACCTTTCATTCTCCATTTCTTTGTGTTCTCCGGCCAGATTTCCCTACTGAGCTTCTTGCAGCATAGCTCTGCTTGTTAGGTTTGTGAGAGAGATGCTCCCTGGCTATGATCTGCGCTGCAAAGTGTTTTATACTGGTAACTCTGCTTTTGCCATTACTGCTTGATTCATTTCAGGTGAGTGTGACTGTCCCAAATGCTAGTGCAGGTGTAAAGTCGTGTTCCTGATCCGGGGACATCTTTGCTGTAGGAGTATGTTGCAGTTCTGTAAACAACAGAATGAATGCCATGTAGGTAGAGCATGAAGGAAGTATAAAATGTTTTTCAAGTGTTTTGGAGCCACAGCAAAGTTTGCTGGGATCTCAGGGGCTCCTACTCTGTAGTAGCGATATAGCTCCGGCATACATTTGGGGGCCCCCAGATCTGAGTAGTGCTGCTGTTCGGCTTCCCATTAGAGCTTTTAAGAGGCCATGTTTTGAGCATTCCCCTTGAGGTAGATGCATCTCTCTGGTTCTCATTTGAAAAGAGGGTGTTTTGGTGTTGTGCTAGGTAAATAGTAAGAATCATGTTGATGAAGATTAGTATCCCACAAAAACTGTGTTGACAAACCTTTCCAAAATTCAACGTGTAGAGGTAAACTTACTGAAGATGAAGGTTACAGAATGTCTTCACTTGCAGATAAACTTGAGAAAATTGACACCTGCTTCTGCACTGTTCAAGTATTGTCCTGCTGGAGATGATAACACAGCCCCTGGGAGAGCAGAGGTGAAAGGGACAAACTTATTTGTGTGTGCAGCAACAAAGCGCAAGCTGACTTGTGAATGAGATTGCAGCAAAAAGAGCTGAAGCTTGAAATCTGGTCTTAGGAATTATTCTTTTTATTTTCTTTCTTTTAACAGTCCCTTGGGTTTGGAAGTTATATAACGAGTATGGCTTTGAGCTGCTGCCGCCTCATTTTGGAGGCAGGGGTGCGTGTGGCAGCCTGCACGTATGCTCAGCAAAGCTGGCTGCAGAGGCTGTTGTTGAGTTTCGGCGTTATGTGCTAGACTTTCATCTGCCTCCTTTGCTGCAGGAAGTCCACAGGGGAGTGGAGTTAGGGAGGCGTGGGGGTAGGCTTGTCTTTTTTTTAACATAAAGATCTGTGGGTTTGGAAAGCAACATCCTCTGCTCTGTGGACTTCCTTCAGAGGACAAGGACAGAGGGCTTAGAATCTATGCAACTCCTGTTCTTTTTTCCTGCGCCCTGTGCCCAAACCGTGGATATCTCCTTCAGAGAGGTTTTCCTGTGTGTCTGGTGCCCAGGGACAACTGATTGGATGTAAATTGCTGTATTGTCACACCCAGTCCTTTCACAAGGAGTCTGCTGGTCCCCATTTAAAGAAAAGGGATGTAAATATATAGAAGAGAAGATGTCTTGCTTTGGAGCTGTGTAAATGCTGGTCCTTTTACCCTTTCTCATTTAGTGTGGTTTTCTGTATGTTTTTTTTTTCTCCTTTAGGAAAAGCAATGCTATTCTGGAGTCTGCCTGTTTTAAGTTCAGACTCGGAAAAAGTCTAGGTTAAAATCCAAGAGGCAGGGGGATACTTCCATGGGGTGGCATTTGTCTGATTTTCTGTTCCATTTTCTCCCCTTGTTAAATGTGAAATTGAATTGTTTAAATGTTTCCCATAAAGCATGCAGTTTCTGCATTGCATCTCAGTTAGGGTATGTGTTGGCGCTTTCACACTTGCATTTCCAGCCCTCTTTTCTTCTTTTCAAATAAGCAACTTCATTGTTGAATAAATACAACTTTTTGCATTTATTAAGGTAAGGATTTCTCAAGATCTCAAAGGATTGTTGTTTCAATACTGTTTTTTTTTTTTCCTGGCTGCAGATGGAAATTAAGGGGTGAAATACATTTTGTGAAAGATGTGCCAAAAACCACTGCACAAAACCAGTCCATTCATAAACAGTGTTGTCATGTCTGTGGTAGATTAATGAAGCCTGCCTGTGAGTGCTATTCAGTAACACAGGCAAGATGTAGTGTTCACTGGGCCAAAGGCTTTGTTAGTCTGTCTCCAAGTGACACAAATGGGCTTCTGTATGGGAGAGGAATCGCGAACACAGCAGCAGCCAGTCATACTGGTGGAGAGAGCTGTGGGGTGTACAGCTCAGCTGGGCTCGCAGGTGAAAAATAGCACTGGCTCTTCAAGGGGTAGAGAGTGACTGAGTGCCAGGGCTGAGGCAGCCCCATCACCCCTGCTGGCTTCTGCCCCCTTGCAGCAAATTTGGCTTCCCCTGTACCAGCGTAGCCAGCCTGACCCAGCTGGGACACAGGAGCTGTGCTTGAGCCCTTTGTCATTGGCATGTGGCTGAAGAGCAAAGGTCAGTCACGGCTGGAGCAGTGGCCAGGCAAAAGTAAAGAGCATTAAAGCAAACAGAAACCCTATTTCTAATCTCCAGTGCCATTTTAAGTAGCAGTACTAAAATCTTCACTCGTTCTTTCCTTGCCCTGCAGCTTGCTTGCTTCTCAAAATTAGTGTAGTGTGCTGGAGCTACACGTTCTGGAGCACATCACCAGCCTGACAGCTCTTTCCAGTCAAACCTTTTCCAGAGCAGTGGTTTTCAGTCTGTGTTTTCAGTGTGCAGACTCCTGAATCTCTTGTAATTAAATCTGTATTGCTATATAACAGAGTTGAGTTTAGTGACAGTAGCTTCTTTTCAGTAACTTCTGGCTTCGCAGTGCTTACATCTAGGTCCGTGTGCAGTGGACCGCGGTTCCCAAGGAATAGGATAAGTGACTTGATGTCTTACATCTGAGCGTGCTCTCTCTCTCTCCTTTGCTGCCAGCTGCTGTAAATATTACTGAAAACTAATTTGATGAACTGATTTTAAGAGTGTTTTGTGCCATAATGCCTTTCTCTTTTTCCCTTTTTCCCTCTCCCAAAGCAACTTGTAATTGTGCTGATTGGTGAATCTCAGGGCAGGGATTTGACATTTTGGATTATGCACTTAATTCCTTGAGCATTTTTTCCCCACGAGCAGCAGCTGCCTGTTGTAGTTTTCCATTTATTAGTTGAATCCTAGATATGGGCACACACACAAGCTAGTCTGCAAGATAAGGATCTGTAGGAACCTTTTCTTCTGCAGAAGGATTACTTGGCTTTTTTCTACCTGGTTAAATCTTAAACACTAGTCTCTTCCCTTTTTTTATGATCCACACCGGATCTTTTTATCCCCTTAATGCTAGCTCTGAGAGAGAAGGAATCCCAGGAAGTGATGTTCAGAAATAAATTTAAGTAATCGTTACGGACAAAGGATTTCTTAAAAAATAATCAAGCTGCCGGTCCAGTGCAGAGGCCTGTTGCTGCCTGGCTCAGAGGGTGCCACTCGGAGTCCTCCCATAGCTAACTGCTGCAGCTACCCCTCAGCGCATGGACGTCGGAGCAGGAAGCTTTCCTCTCTGCTGGTGTTCAGCTTATGCCCTGCAGCATGTGCTTTGACTCTAGTAGCATTCACACATAGATTTGACCACTAATAACAAATGTAGTTGTATGCTGTAGCTGTTAATACAAAGCCTCTGTTTCTAATCAGTGCATGGTATTATAGTGCATGCTATGTGTGGTGTTCCCCCCAACCCTTTTATTTACAGTGTACAGCCTCAGGTTTGTTTGCATCTCCGCACTGTTTTGATTTAAGAAAAAAAATAATCTCCAAACGTTTCTAGTTGCTGATAGCCCGACTCCTCCCCCACCACCACCTCCCGATGAGATGCCGATGTTTGATGACTCTCCTCCTCCTCCACCCCCACCCCCCGTGGATTATGAGGATGAGGAGGCTGCTGTTGTGCAGTACAGCGATCCCTACGCAGATGGAGATCCCGCTTGGGCACCTAAAAACTATATAGAGAAAGGTAAGAGAAGCGTTACAACTCTGTGCTACTGTGGTAGCAGAGGATTATTGGTATCCGAAGGGAATTGAAGGACTTAGCTTGGGTCTGATGAAAACAATCATTGTCCCTGCTAAGTCAGAATTCAAGCCATTCTTTTCTTAGTTTGTCTGTGACTACACCTAATGTGATAAAATATAATCCTTCTTTGGAAGGATTATAAAATACCTTCAAGCATTCTAGAATGGATAAAAAAAACCTCATTATGACAAGCAGATGTAAATTGGATGGCTTTCATCTTTGCTGAGCTGCTGGGCTTTGTCTGTAGCTACCTCAGGATTTCTGGGCAGTCATCTAGAAACAGTGTTGCAAAAAGGCCAGGAAGTCTGTTTATCCCATCAGACTAGATAGCTGAGTGGATCATTAGACTTTCAACTATAAAATGTAGTGGAGCTTCCTTGGAGAGTTATCATCAACTCTAGATCTATAAGCTGTGCTTAGGTATGAACTCATACAGCAAATGCCTCTTCCCATGAATAACTGAGGTGCTGATTTCCTGCCTGTGGCGCGCCTCTGTTCTGGCAGTGACCGTTTTGTCCACAGCAGCGTTGCAAGTTTTCTCATGATCTGGCTGGTTCTGCAGTGCCTCTGACATGGGGCTGCGTACCTGTGATTCCTCTGTTGGCAGAGCTGCTGTGGTCCATCTTCACTCCTCGCTGGCCTGTGTGCAGGATGTACCCATGGGATGAGAATAACTGATGCACCACGTCATTATGTGCTAGACATTAAGACATCAGACTTCTGAGAAAATACCTATCTGTAAAATAGTAGGTTCTTGGAATTCATAAAACTGATCAGTTGCATAAATCCATGTTAAATGTTTTAAAGGACAAGGCTGTGATGCCCAAAGTTTGTGTATTCATAGTGGTACTTTTTAATTCTCATATTATTGGTGGCAACATTTACTTTCAGATCTCCGCTTTGTTAATTGCACACAATGAGCTGGAGGTTGGTAAGAGTAACGTTTTCACCAAGCAGGTACTGAAAAATAGCTGATGTTCCTGTAAATTTGCTTCTGCTTTTTCCTACAGTAACTTTTATACTTGCACTCATTACAGCACCTTAAAAAATAATGCCAAAACTTGACACACAGAAGCTCTGTACCAGAAACCATCCATTTCTGTACAGTGGCTGTAAGCATCTGTGTTTACAAGATGACACACTGAAGTACGTACCGTAATAGCTGCAGGGGCCATCGTCAAGAATGTTTTTTTTCCCTGTTGGTCCATTTCCCAGAAATGACTGCCACACTCATGGAGCAGCTACTTCATAGTTCAGCTTTTAAGTGTCCATATGCTCCACTTCGCTGTGTCGCAGTCACCTGTACCTCTCTTTCAGTAGTTTAACTGAGCATTCAGCATAATCACCACCCACTTCTTGCTGCTAGCTAATGTTGCAAGAAAAGTGGTATTTCATTTTCTGGACTTAATGTTCAACAGGGAAAGCATGTGAATTCATTATGGAAAATCCCAGGTTAGCAAACTAGTCTTTTAAAAAATAACTGTACTTCAAAAAGCTATTAATAAAATGCTAAACTTGTCCCTATTCAATCCACAGTTGTTGCTATATATGACTATACAAAGGACAAAGACGATGAGCTGTCTTTCATGGAGGGTGCAATCATTTATGTGATAAAGAAGAATGATGACGGCTGGTATGAAGGAGTTTGCAATCGAGTAACTGGCTTGTTTCCTGGGAATTATGTTGAATCAATCATGCACTATGCCGATTAAAATCCTTTGCTTTTCAAAGTTGGGTCTTGTATTCAGTCATACCATGATTATTTACAAGGGGTAACTAAAAGCTAACAGAATTGTCTTAATATACTCTAAAAAAAAAATGTGCCCATTTCTTCAGGCCATACTGTTTTGATGGTATGATTGAATGTCCATCTCTGTCTCTGAAGACAGTATGTCTTACTGATGGCAGTCTGTACAACAAGGAACTGTCTGTAACTGGTTATACTTATTTACTTATGCATTGTTAATTTTATGACCAGCCTAAATATTCTGGGGAAGTAGGGTATAATATTTAATGAACCATGATTCAGATTGTGCCATTACATTTTTCAGTACAGCATGGTAACTAACACTACGTTAGACTAACATATTAAAATCTGGATGAGAAGTTTAATGTTAGTGCTGGTCATATTACTTTTTGTTTAGACTCTTTGCTCATTCTTGAACTATATTTGTTTAAAGCATGCATACAAACTTATGTATTGAAATATACTTTTTTAAAAATCCAAGATGCTTCCAATTGTTGTAATCTTTACCTGGAGTATTCTCACTGCAGTCTATTACAATGAGTTGTTTGGGTCTGAGGTGTCCATGTGAATCAAAAAATGGGTGGTCTTATGTATGTGTAATTTGTACCCAAGTTTTTTTAATGAGTAAATTTACATTATGACTTTTTCCATTCATAAATATATAAGTGAACCAAAGGTCTTGTCCATTACTTTGTTGGTTGGCTTGGCAAAGGTTGGAATGCTAACGTAGCAAAATCATGGCTGTGTTATCCTAGGCAATGTACTAAAAAGCAAATGTTTGTAACGTGACTTTATCACTGGCAGAGGGCAAATAAATTAGATATGAAACCTGAATTACACACTTATACAAACTCTTAAAAGTTCTTTTCTTCCAAAATCAATTTTAGCAAGGATTCTTGATTAAATCTAGTTACCCAGATGCAGTAAATTGGACACTGCAACTGACATTTCTCAGGGGAAACTGTACCTGGCTAGGGGACATGCCCAGCTGAGCAGAGGCGGCAGCATGTCCTCAGGGTATGACAGAGGGGGCACAAACACAGCAGGACCTGGGTGCATTTTACAGGGAATGGAGCAATGCGCTTGGTTGCTGTGTCAAAGGATCACAGGCAGAGATAGACCCAGGTGATGTACTCCCTGTTCTACAAATTCTGTGACTTAAATAACCTGAAAAGGAATGTGGCAGTACTGGATAATTACTGTAAGAGGAATGTGTCTGGGACTTCAAAGCAGACTTCAAGGAGGTAGTGAATGTACACTGTAAATGAGTGGTAGAAGGTGATGGAGTTGAAGCTTTGGCTCTTGAATCATTCATTTTTTGTGTGAGTTAGAAACATCGAACCTTTCATTTTCTTAACTGTAGCAGTCTCAAGTTCTGCATCTTATTAACTGCTAGTGAGTACCAACCAGTACCGTACCTGTGTTTCATTAGAAATTTGAAAACTTCTCCCTTGATGCATCTAACCAATTAAAGCCCACATACAGTCTTCAGTAATAAACCAGTTCCAGGTAGTGCTGTAGTTTACAGCCAGGAAAGCATTCAGACCATCCCACTTCACTGAAGTTGGCCAGATAGTAACATGTACGCTCTGTTTATTAGTGTGAACAAGTGAAATTCAGAGCAACTTCAGGTCTCATACACTGACTTATATTTATTCTCATTGTGGCCTTTGTGCATCAACACGTAAACATCTTCCGCACCCCCCCCAATTAATAGCCCCCACTAAAACAATTGTACAGCACAATTTGATTTGCTCTGAATTGTATGGCTTCCCCGATAAAACACTTTCAACTTTTCTTTAAAAAAAAAAAGTAGAACTTCCAGAAAAAAAAAAAGGTTTTTTTTTAAAAAAATAATTTTTGGTAGCCTGTGTTGGAAGCAAATAATGTTTGAAGTAAATTTAGGCACAGTCTGGTAAGTAGCTGCCAGAATGTGAGCGGAAGGAGTGCTCTCACTTGTCTCGCATGAGTACCATTTCCGTCAGCTGAATGAGGGCTTCTCTTTCAGGGGATGGCCGCAGTTTGCTGATCTCTCTGGTAGCTTCATGGCAGTAGCGCTGCGCGAGGTAGGTTGTTTGCTGCACACCATCACTCTTATGCAAGAAGACAGGTAAAGGTAATGGATAACTGGTCAGCCTCCTGCTTGCCTTTTGCCTCTTCCAGTTACAGGGGGAAGTTTTAAGGTCAGTAATGACCCTGAACACTTAATCATATTCTGAAGGGGAAAGGAAGAGGATTCATTCTGTACTCTCTTCCCTAAAGCTTCAAAATACTAAACCTCATGCATGTTAAACTTATTAATAAGTATACTTAACATACTATTCAGTAGCATTAGAAACTAATGGTTTAACCCATCCCTTCCTGCCCTACATAGATACACAGATACATTCAAAAAATGCTATGCTGAAAAAACAAGTATTAATTTTGCACAGTCAGTTATTCAGTCTTTTCAGATGAGGGTCATTTAAAACTGATTCACAGTGTGCACCGCAGTTACAAGACTGACTGGTAGTTACGTGCAGCTTACACCAGTTGTTGGATACAGCTACTCTTCAGCTGAAGGAACCGAGTTCAAGCATGAGCTTTTTACTTTTGTATTGTGGATTTTATGCTACTGGAAGGGAAAAAAGAGAGAGAAAAAAAAAAAGGCTCTTCAGTACCTAGCCTTGTGTTTAACTCTGCCAGCAAGGCAGCTGAAGAGTACTGACTTGGTACATACACAGCATGCTACTTAACATCTATTTGCAACTGCAGCCCTGCAATTTTACTTCAGAGGTAATGAATTTCAGAC